TCACGGCCAATCAAATTGCTGCAAAAGACTTCCATAAGTCTTTTCAAAGCCAAAGTGCCCACTCCGACCATGTGCCGAATCCAAGAAATGAGTTCAGAGAGGCTCATGGTTGGGTACACACAAACGGTCAAACTTTTGATAGCGCCGGAACACTCATGAAAATCAGGCTGACTGCTAGGGTCAGCCTTGATCTGCTCGATGGGACTGAGGTCCGGATCCTTGGAAGTGTGCTCGACCAGATCCTCCTTCATTTTCCTTTGCAGGTCGTAAGAGCTCACAAGTCAAGTCAAAAACTCAGGATGAGGAGACAAAGCATCAGCATGCGATTATAACGGCCGTTCTTGCGTTTCAGTTCAAAATCATAAACATCAATCTCATGCAGCCAGCGAGTCAGTTTGTAGAGATATTGGTTTGTGATATGATCCACCACAAGGTATGATCATCCGAGTAGACCTTGAAGTGACGACTCAAGAGGTGTCTCCAGTGCGCCAGTGCCTCTTGCAAGGCATAGACCTTGTGCATGTACGTGGAGGTATCTACCTTATGGCTGGGTGTGCGTTTGCTTGTGCATGTACGTGGAGGTAGCTACCTTGTGGCTCCGCGTGCGTTTGCTGTCGTATTCGAGTGGACGCAAGCCGTCACCATCGTCTTGTGTAGAAGATATGTCTGCCGTGTTGGAGGATGTGGTGTCAGTAGATTTCTCAAGAGGAGTCCGCTCTTCGCTCGTGTTTGGATGAACACTCCTCTTACCCCTCGTCACGCTCTCAAAAAGAGTACCTTCTCTCTCCCTTCTCTCGCGCATGCGTCTCAGTGCATCACAAGGGGGAAGGTTGGACTTCTAGCCGGAGCGGCAATTCCTTTGGACTAGAGAATGGCGTTTGCTTGTGCATGTACGTGGAGGTAGCTACCTTGTGGCTGGGCGTGCGTTTGCTGTCGTATTCGAGTGGACGCAAGCCGTCACCATCGTCTTGTGTAGAAGATATGTCTGTCGTGGTGGAGGATGTGGTGTCAGTAGATCTCTCAAGAGGAGTCCGCTCTTCGCTCGTGTTTGGATGAACACTCTTCTTACCCCTCATCACGCTCTCAAAAAGAGTACCTTCTCTCTCCCTTCTCTTTCTTTCCACTTTTTGCGCACGCGTCTCAGTGCATCACAAGGGGGAAGGTCGAACTTCTAGCCGGAGCGGCAATTCCTTTGGACTAGAGAATGGCGTCCACGCAGCAGTATAAAATATATATATATATATATATATATATATATATATATATATATATATATATATAAATTTCAGAGAGAGGTCCGACTTGAGGAATGGGGCCGGTCAGATCAGACTCAAGATCCCCTCTTGACTAACCCAACGTGGAACATGCATCACAGATACTTCGGACAAAAGAAAGAACTAACTGAAGCAATGGAGATTTCAAGGGGTGCAGACGGTCGCCGAGCCAGACGCGGGTGTGCGAGAACATGCGGTAAGACCAGTTAAGATCCACTGAAAAGGGAATGTCCCTACTAGCCGTGTGTCCCCCAGTTCTAGCGCAGCAAAGAAATGCAACTGCGAGGAATGAGCCCTCGCGGGGCCCTTACCAGACATACAAGTGTTCTGGGCTGCGGCCCCTAGCAAGCCTGTGCCCGCCCTAAGTGAAGGCGGGCCTGAATATCCACGAGAGGCCTGTTTTTGACATTTGTCCATGTGTGGGGATTCAGACAGTTGCAGCACGCCAGTTGGTTACAGAGCAACGTGAGCCTCCTGGCTCTTTTCAGAAGCAAGGGCTGTGCTGTACAGTTGACCCCAGGGCTCAGGTGGTTGCGCCCTGGGCTTACGCTGTGTGAGGCCGACACATCATGGACTGGCCATGAGCCAATGAGAATGCTGCACACACTTGGAGGCTGGATGGCTGCCTGAACGGGCCTAACTGCATGACGCCCGGGCCAGTATCTGAAACTGGGCCTGGGCGCAGACACTTGGGACCAGCAGCAAGCTAGTGGGCCCCCCACACGCCTGGCCAGGCCAGCCAGCAGGCAGACACGCTGCTGCGTTGCTGCACTAGGGTCTGCATGTGTGCTGCAGGTCGGACGCGGGCACGGGCGCTGAGGTGAGGGGCGCTGCTGAGGCAGCGGGCGCTCAGCAGCCGTAGCCGGGCTGCAGGGGCGCAGGCAGGTGATGGTGAAGGTGGTTTTCGGGTAGGAGGCGCATGAGGTGGGAGACGAGGGGTGATGAGGAGGGAGAGAGAACACACCTGGTGTATGCTGGAGGTCGGCATTGGTGTTGACGACACATGCGTTAGTCTTCGACTTCGATGTGATTCTTTTGCAAGAACGTAGATAGGTAGATAGGCTGAGTAGAGTAGGCTGGGCGCTAGGCGCTAGACAGTAGGAGCGACCTTGGATGAAGTTTTGCTCAACATTATCTGGATTTCTGTGGCATGTTGCAATCTGGTTTGTTGTCTTTCGCATGTGCTTATTTCCTTGCAGAAATGGGGCCACGGAGACATAAAGTTGTTCTTTCTGTGTCTTTTTTCATCTTATTTTGTTTTACATTACCCTTATGCACAGCCAATCCGACAAATGGCGTGGATGTAGTGCTACACTTATTATAACACTGAGTACTCTAGCAGAATCCCTGTTTGTAATCTGCCTTCCGATGTACTGGTGTGGAGAATGTGGTGAATCTGCACTGTAGATTTCCGAAAAGTATTGTCCAGATTCCCCGCATTTGGTCTGTCGAATGGGAAGTACTTGAAACCTTTCTAGGCAATCACAGGACTATTGTGTTAGTGAACTTAGTATTGGCTTGTGTGTGTCCTTTGGGGCATCCGTTAAAGTTGGAAGAGAAGATTAGCACGATCCCAGTGTAAGGATGACATGCATAAATCAAGAAATTGTCAAAAAAACAGCCAAACAAACGTCAAGGCTTGTGCACACTGCACAGTGGACCAGTCAATCAGAGCATCTAGAAATCAGAAACAGACAGGACTGTGGCACTCTTCACTGTCTGTTCGTTGAACCCGTTTCAGGAACAGAGGGCTTTGGGAGCCCCATCTTATGAGTCATTCAGTTCAAATGGGACAGGAGTTTTTGCCAATGCCTTGTAAGCAAGAAAGAAGACTGTTGTGTCCTTTTGAGATATCTGCTAAAAAGTTTGGAATGGGACTCTTCTTGAGAAATGGTCAACCTCCTAAAAAAGCAAACAGAAGTCGAGCAACAGAGTCAAACAAACAAGAAAGATTGGTGTCATGGGTGGAATCTGATGTCTTTGTGGTGATGGTGTGATGTTAATTTTTGGTATGCATTCCTGGTCTTGCTTTGTCCGCGCGTGTGCTTTCAGATGTGCAGTATATACCAATTTCTGGGCTATATGGGATAAATATGAAGGCACGTGTGAAGGCAGAAGTTTGTCCTTGGTGGCAACGGCCATGTCTGTTTGAAGTACTTGACGGCCTTAAATTAACACAAAGAGATCCGAGGGGTCCATTCAGGTAGGAGAAGAAACGACCGCCACTGGTGCTATGGTTGTTTGTCGTGTGTTAGCGTGAACTTGGTCGGTTTTGTGACTTGTGCTGCTGCATATTTTGCTAACTTTTCCAAGAATTCTATCACTATGTGCTACGTGGAGTTAGGTCTGCTTCCCGCCTCTACAACCTACGCTTTCACTCGTTGTCACATGATGATTTAGATGCCTGTATTTGGGCCTATGCCCGAGTTGGCGGGCATTGCACCTCGGTATGGCTAAGGTGGCCTCCGCAGAGTTTGCATGTATTTGGAGCAGCTGGTCGCAATTGAAAGTCCATCCCCAGCATAAATGGACCACTGATGATTGATGAGAACGATTATGTTGCTGACAATGATGACGATGATGATGGTGCAATGATTGTGGTGCTGAGGATGTGGGGGATTGTGGAGATGATGGTGATGATGATGATGATGATGATGATGATGATGATGGAGGGTCACAGAGAATAAGGGGACAGTTGTAGAGAATAAGGAAATAAAGGAGGTGGGAGGTTGCACAGAGTGGGGGAGGACAATGGGAAAGAACTGACGAGAATAAGGGCAGAGCCATAGAAAGGATGCAGGGGGTTGCAGAGAATGGTGGGAAATGGGGTGGAAGGGGGGGAAGTGGCGTTAGAGCAAGAAGGGCAAAGTTTTTTCTGTGCTGCTCTTCTTCATTGCTGTCGTAGGTCTTCTTTGTTGGTTCAGACTCTTCAGAGTCTTCAGATTTGTAGAGAACAAAGGGCAGATCGAAACTCTGAAAAAAATCAAAAAATTCTGAATAAAAATTTATGTCATGCAGAATAATAAACTGAACAACTTTTAATGTTGCCTTTTTGGCCTTGCCGGGCAAGTGGTCCCCGGTCGTTCATGTAGCCTAGTCCCCAAGCAGGCTGGAGGGGAAAAGAAAGAGAAAGTTGCATGTGTCTATCACCCACACATTTCTATTTATGTACTTGGCTGAACAAATCTGCTCTCGGCTCTTGTGCTGTGGCTGTTGTGTTACCATTGTGTATTGTGCCACAAATCCCATGATGCGATCGTGTGATAAGAATTGTCCTTGCAGAATGCCTATAATTGACAAGTATAGAGATATGGGCACTGTAGTGATGGGCAAGATTGAATCTGGCAGCGTCCGCAGAGGACAAAGTCTTTTTATCATGCCGAATAAGGTGTGCTATCGACTCACCGGCAAACACATTGCCTTCTTCCCGCAAATCTCCCTTGCTTTTGATGCCCGCATGACAAATTTGGGTGTGATTGATGGAGAGTAGCCGTAGGTGCCGAAGGATTTAGCTTTCGTAGTTCTCTCTAAATCACAAGCCTACCTGTCCGGCTTGCAGCCATTGCAAGCCTGTAGCAAAACGTCTGCGGGTGCCATGGAGCTAACATCCTAGACTACCATCTTCTGTGAACATATTGTGCATAATGAATGCATATAAGCTATCTTTACGGTTCGATACAGCCATAATCAGGGTGCATTGCATTCGGGGGAAGGGGGTAGCGTCTCAAATTCCTGGCATGGAGCTAACGTCATATCGATTAAATTCCCCCTGTGAATCACAAGCGGGAAGTCTCTTGGTGAAACGTGATATGCTGATTTTGCCCTGTGAAGCTATGGCAGACACAGAAGGCAGTGAGCATGTTTTGTGTTTAGAGTCTTTAGACAGTAATAGGCATAGAAAAAGTTTCAAATCTGCTGTTTGTGTAGTATGTGTGTTGTTTAATTGTCAAAAGGCCATATCAGGCGCTCCCATGAAACTAGGAACAAACCAGTAAGCAACGGGCTCAGTTGGTACGAAGTACTACAAACACAAACTGTTGAAATGCAGATCCGAGGTTGAATCCAGATGGAACCAGATGAAAAGAGATTCTTAATTGTCTGTTGCCAGTCAGTTGCACAATGATATCTCAAGGCTGTCACCCTTTTTATAAGGAAAAAAAGACAGAAAAGGAATAAACCAGTTTCCAAACGTACCTGTAAGATCATGCATTACCCTAAAGAGTAGGATAAGATAAGAATGAAAGATAAGATAACAAGTAAGCACTGCATGAATTTTTGTGTTGTGTGGTCACTTTTGTGAGGAATACGCCCTCCCGGGGCCCTTATCAGACATGCAAGTGTTCTGGGCTGTGGCCCCCAGCAAGCCTTATGCCCGCCCTAAGTGAAGGTGGGCCTGAATATCCACGTGAGGCCAATTTCGGACATTTTTCGTATGCCGGATATCAGACAGTTGCAGCACGCCAGTTGGTTGCAAAGCAACGTGAGCCTTTTGTGGCTCCTTCCAGAAGCTGTAGCTGCGTCGAACAGTTGAGCCCAGGGCTCAGGGGGTTGCGCCCTGGGCACACGCACTCAGAGGCCGACACATCATGGAAAGGCCGCGGAACATTGAGAATGCAGCATTGTCATCACACATCTACCGCGGGCCAATGATATAGCTGCAAACACTTGGGAGCCTGGGAGGCTGCCTGGACGTGCCTAACTACACGACGCCAAGGCCAGTATCTGAAACTGGGACTGGGCGCAGACACTTGGGGCCAGCCTGAAGCCACTGGCCCCCTACACGCCTGGCCAGACCAGCCAGCAGCGAGCACACTTTCCATAAAGGAAAGTGTGTGCCCCTGGGCACGATATTCAGGCCTGAGCAGGCAATGTGGCCACGCTGCTGCGCTGCCTTGAGATACTGTGCTAGCCATAGCCGGGCTGGCAGCGGGCGCACGGCGGCCATAGCAGGGCTGCACATGCGGGTAGCAGGTGATGGTGATGGTGGTCTTCGGGTAGGAGACGCATGCAGAAGGGGAGACAAGGGGTGATGAGGGGAGGAGAGAGAACGTACCTGGTGTATGCTGGCGGTCGTCATTGGTGATGATGTCATGCCATTGGTCTTCAACTTCGATGTGATGTGGTTGCAAGAACGGAGATAGGTGTAGATAGGCCGAGTAGAGTATGCTGGGCGCTGGGCGCCATAGAGTAGGAGCGATATTGGATACGGTGTTGGTGTGGGCAGAGAGCGTCGACATTGGTATACGAGTTCATTGTATTGCTCTTACTTGAATTGGTATCTTGGTGCGTTGTGCTCTCTGCTGGGTACAAGGCTATCTGTGATACTTCATGATATTGCAATCTGGATTTCTGTATATCGCTCTCGCTCATATTCCATGGACTTTGATGACACTGGATTTGTCATTGCGAGCTTTCTCTTTATGCCACTTTATGACTCCAGTTTTTCAAACTTTGGTTTGATACACCATGCTTGATTATGATCTGCAGTCCTGAACTTCCAGATGGCCATCCAGCTTCTGTTGAAGTCCTGGTGCAGATGATTTGCAGGTCCAAAATTTTGGACATTGAAAATGTTTTTTTTGAAAAACTGCAAAAGCAAATCTGGGAAAAAGGTATGCTTTTTCTTTCTTTTTCTTTTGTGTGTGTGTGTGTGGGGGGGGGGGGGGGGGGGGGGTAGGAGAAACTGAACAACGTGTGCTATGTAGCATGAGAATACAAACTTCTTTTGGCTGGGGGGAAGGGGATCCCTTGTCTGGATCTATGCAGACACCGGATGGTCTGTATCTGTACAGCTGGACTGTTCAGCGTAACCGATTCGCCATGTCTTTGGGCTGCGCTCAATTGCTCACCACATGCACAAAAGGTCAAAATTATGGCAGAGTATCTTTCCATGGTGTAGTGGAAGATTCATTCACATTTTGTGCAACTGGTGAGTAGTGGAGCGAGGCGCTTGATTGCTATCAGACAGAAGACTTTTATCGGGGGATGGGACTTTACTCAGGATCCCTATGGATGCAGATGACAACTGACTCCAAAAATAAAAAAGCAGGTATGCCGCAAAAAGAATATGGTGCAAAAAGATTACAACGTTTTTGTCTTTTAACTCTTAAACCACCAGTACTTACCGGTTGGGGCGGCCGTTAACGCGGAAGGCGAATACGCCTGCCCCTCCGGTCCAAATTCATTTGAGGCTGGGGGGTACGAAAAATGCGGTAGGTACTGGTAGTTTAGTGTTGGTGCAGCAAGACGGTCCATATATTTTATACTGAATAGCGAAACTGTTGTGTTTTTGTTCTACAGTCGACATGATAGATGAATAATTAGCCCCGGTGGAGACTTAGAAACAGGGTTTGATGGTGTTATGAAATGAAGTGAAAGGGGTTGACGGTTAGCTACGGTAGGCACACACTGTGAGAGAAAGAGAGATGTCATCTTTATATAAAATAATGATTGCGCGAGGGTTTTGCCCCTCGGCATACGTGCATAAGGCCCCTGCAGCAAGAATGTGCAAAGCTTTGGTGGACGCCAGACAGTTGCCACACGCCAGGTGTTTACATCCGCCTCGCTTATGAGAATCAGAAAAAATTGTGAGAAAGCAGGGAACACCACACGTTGCGCCTGGGTGGTTGGGCATTCCTAGTCAATTCGATCCCAGGGGTTGATGGTTAGCTTCACACACTGTGAGAGAAAGAGAGGTGTCATCTTTATATAAAACAAGTGGTCCATCGCAGCTATGCTGTGGCGAAGGATGATGACCAAAACATTTTGCAAAACACCCCAGCCATCAGTTGGATGCCATCTTTGCAATGTACCCCTACTGGACGCTGCCCAACTAGCAAAATGACCCGGCAGTTGCCAAGTTTTCGTAGGGGCAGTTGCCAAGTTTTCGTAGGTGCAATTGCAAAAGGCCAAGTGAATTTGCACACCCGCCTGACAGGGGCATAACGCAAACATGTCAGCCCGAAAGGCCATTCCACTGTGCCCATATCTTTCAGGGATGTTTTGACATTTATCTCAACATATGGGGGTATTTGGCAAATTACACCCTCCACAAAAAAAAAAGGAGACTCTCTCTCTCTCTCTCTCTCTCTCACACACACACACACACACACACACACACACACACACACGATCCCCATCCCGATCATGTAATGACCCGACTCCTCTACTGCTCCTTTTTCCTGAACGACATATGATCGGGTTGAGATCGGATCAAGCGGCGATCGGGTTGGGGCGGGGTGTTTGAGAGAGAGAGAGAGAGAGAGAGAGAGAGAGAGAGAGAGAGAGAGGGTACTTCCATCGATAGGATGAGCAAAATCCAATGAATCTACCGACACACACACACACACGTGTGGCAGTGTATGTTTCCAAGTTATAGCGGTAGATTCATTCGATTTTGCTCATCCTATCGATGGAAGTAGCGTGAGGCCAGGCCCGGGGTTGGAGACGTATCTGTTGGCCGGTGCATTGCACATACTATCGATGGAAAACTTTCTCTCTCTCTCTCTCTCTCTCACACACACACACACACACACACACACACACACATACACTACTACACGTGTGTGTGTGTGTGCGCGTGTGTGTGTCTGTGTGTGTGTGTGTGTGTGTGTGTGTGTGTGTGTGTGTGTGTGT